ATGTTCTTATATATTCTTTGAAAGTTACCATTGTCTCTTCAAAAATTTTTGATACTTCTCTTTTGTTTTGTAATTGTGAGGATACTTTGTTGTATAATGAATTGGGGATGCGTCCAAAGATGATGTCAAGAAATGATAACTTGTTTTTGTTATAATTTTTTCATCTTCGGAATGGTCATAAAGATATGGTAATAGATCAGCATATAGTATATAGGTTAAATATGATCTTATTCTTTCTCTATACGTATTTGGTGTATCAGTCAGATTGAATTGTTCATGTGATAAGAATCTTTTAGCCATCCGTTTGCTTCCTATTGTTTCTGTACTATATTTTCCTTTTATCTATGCTAAAAAGGTATCTGAAGTATTTATAGCTGAATTTCCTATAGTATAGGGATCATTTGCTGATACTGGAGTATATTTTCTAATCATTTTAGTTTTTAAAACATCACATTTATTTGCATCGACAAATGTATTATTAACATTAGCATTGGCACTAGCTATGACTAGTTCTGTATATTCGAATACACGTAAAATTTTTTCATAATATTCCTCTGGATTTTCTTGCCCTATATATTGTGGTATATTAGCAAGAAGTGGTATCATTGTTTGCATTACATCTACAATTGTTGTTATATTTGCTTGATTATTCTGTAACAATAAAATTTGTCCCTGTAAATTTAAAATTAATTGTCACTCATTTTTTGTTTTATTTTTCCATTTTTCATATCTATCAAAGATTCGATCGTGATTATATTCTAATAATCCATTTTCAGTACAACAGGTATTTAACTACCTTTTATATCGTTGCTGTTCATTTACTAAATAAATTTGATCATTTGTATATTTTTGTCAAATCTGCCTTGTAGCTCTTTTTATTTGGTTGGCTAAAACGATTCTGTTTATTCTAGTATTATCTAAATAGCCTTCTATGGTATCGACTAATTCTGGTATTGTAGTCATATTTAAATCAGAAGTATTATTATCTTGAAAATTTTTGTTAGAATCTTCTTCTGAATTTGATTCATTATCTATATTTCATGTCTTAGCAATACGTAAAGTTTCTCGGGTGTTGATAAGTTCTAATTTATCTCGATAATGCAATAACCTAATATCGAAATTTTGACAATGTAGATCGGTAATATGTCTTTTTTTCTGAATTAATTTTTTGTCTCGATCTTTAAGATTATATTTTAAAGTATCGATTTCACGTTTGAGACACTCGTTTTCATCTATTAACTTTGCTGTTTGATTATATGCTTTGGAAGTATTTTCTGCTAATTTGGATATCTCCCGAATTCAGGTTTTAAGTTTCTTCTCCCTTACATCAACACTGGTTGAAAATTGATAAAACATACACATATCGGGTATCCGATATGTGCATGGTGTGTCCCTAATATCGGACATATATCGGGTACCCGATAAGTGTAGAAAATATTTTTTTACACTTATCGGGTATCCGATATATATATATAATATTTTCTACACATATCGGGTACCCGATATATGTCCGATATTAGGAAAACACCATGCACATATTGGATACCCGATATGTGTATGTTTTATCAATTTTCGATCAGTGCAAATTCGGCTAATTGATTTTCTTTGCTAGCTAGCTCCTTGTCTTTTTGCTCAATTTTTTTTTTAAGCCAGTAGACAATCTTTTTTAAGCCTGATATCTCTTTTTCCAATTTTTCCTTTTCTTGTATTGAAAGTTTGATTGTATTTGCTAACTCTTTCTCGAGATACCGAATTTTTTCTTCACGTAAAACTATATCTCGTTCAAGGTTATAAGTTCGACACTCATATTTCCAATTTGATTTTACTAATTGCTCGATTTTCTCATGGAGTTCTTGGTTTGTTTGTATTAATTCATCCATAACGAATTTTTGTTATTTATAATAAATCAGAAATAAAGTTTCATTGTTTCGTAATAAGTAATGGGAGAATCTGTAATTTATATTGACCCCAGAAAGGCTTATGAACTAGATAGGAAAATTGCATTACAAAAATTATATTACCAACCTGAAGAGTACTATCGTACCATTGAAAAAATAAGAGATACTTGCAGAAAAGCTAGTTATAATTTTTCATTAACAAATATTAAAAACTGGTTAAATAAACAGGCCATTTTTCAGATCCATAAGCCTCATCCTAAATTTATCCAATATGCGTCTTTTAATGACATATATAATTTAAATAAAGTACATCAATCCGATACTATCCCAATGTCTCATGATAAAATTGATAATTGAATTTTCAAGCATAGAGGAATAATAAAAGATATGGCAACTAGATATCACAAAAGTTATACTTTAATTAATAAGTCTTCTGTATCATTGGCTAAAATGTTTATAAAAATTTATGGGGATCCAAATTACCCTCTTATTTGGCCTAAAGTTTTGATTATAAATAAAGGCACTGAATGCAGGGATTTATTACTTAGTCATGGTATAAAAATTCAGTATGCCGAAATTAAGGAAGATATTGCTATTGCCGAGCGTAATTATCAAGAATTTGAAAAATATGCTTTTTATAAACAAGATATACCTATCACCCAAATTCAAAATCCAAATGTCGAAATCCCAAATGCCGAAATCTCAAATCTCAAATCTCAAATTATGATTAGTATTTTTTGCCGAAATCCCAAATCTCAAATTCCAAATACTAGTAATTTGGAATTTGGGCAACACGTATAAGACAAAATACAGTAGATTTTCATTTACCATTAACTAAGAGATATAGAGTTTAGGTCAAAGGCCTTCGCTTAAATGATAATACTTTTAATAATTCTATTACCCAATTAATACATATGTCTCCTAATGAAGCTGTAAAAAGAACATTAAATGGTAAAAAAATATTTGCAGAGCCAGCAGTAAAATATAGAAGACCTTTAGGTTATAATGAACCTCTTTTACCTAGTTATACAGAAGTTCGTTATCTTTTAAAACTTGAAAAAATAGAGTGGGAGAAATGCAAGGTGACTAATATAAATTGATTTTCTGAAACTTTTACAATTGGTTCTTATTTGATAAAAAATAATCAACTTGTTCTTTATAAATTTTATAATGGATCAAAACACTCTTTTGTGAGAGAACAACTTCAAATTGTTGATCTTGATACTGTTTTACTGTCAAAACGCATTCTCAAGCATTAGACTTACCTCCTCTCTCTTCTACTTGATTTATAATTTGTTCAAAAGTATTACTTAAGTAATCATCTATTTCTGATCGATTGTATACTATAATTTATTTATTTTGTAACCAATCAGTTCTTGCATTTTTTTTCTTATCTTTTTCTTTATTGACATCTGGTTTGCTGTCTATAAAAAATTTTGTTAGAGAGTATAATGAAAACTTAAATTGACCTCGTTTATCAAACTCTTTCTCAAGTAATTCCTGAAATGGTTTTCTTTGACTTTCTAACATTTTTCTGATGTCGCTCCCATTATCTGGATGATATTTTGGAACTTTTGCATTATGTACAACTATAGCTCGTCTTTTTAGTACTTTTCCTAAAATTTGCTCTCTAAATATTATGCTTTTTTCGTGATCTCCAGTAATTATCCTGAGATGTTCAAATTCTTCATTTGTTAGATCTGTTTCTAAAAGAGTTTTTGAACTAGTTTTAGGGTGTTTTATAAATTGACTTTTAACGGGGTGTGATACTTGTCTCTCTACTTCAATTTCAGGTTCTCTAAAGAATTCTTGTTCTTCTTTCGTTTGCTTTGTAGGTTCTATATTGATATATGATTCTTCATCTATTTGTAATAAAGTATCATAAAGAACTTGACAAGCTTTTAAAGTTCTCAGTTGATCATAATCTTTATAACATAGTTTTTTATATCTTTTTCATAATCTTGAGTCCCATTGCTTAACAGTTTTACCCAGTTTTCTGTCATTAGCATTTTTTACTACTTGAGATGAGTTTTTAGAATTTTACTCTGGATTTTGTATTGTTTCAGATATAGGCAAAGTACTTTGGTACTGAGATAAAAGTACTGGAGAAATGAGGGGTCTGCATGAATTCTACCTATTAAGATGCTCACGAAATTTTTGTGATGTTGCACACGTATATCCACAATATTCACAAGTTCTATTTTTCTTGTCTTTTCTAACTATAGGTAAAATATAATGATTGTAGTATACTAAGTCTAACTTTTGTGTTATATTTTACTTATACAAAATCTTTTCTTTAAATAATTAATTCATATCATATTTTTAAAAATAATTGGTAAGTATTCGTGTCCATATATTCATAACTCTGGTATTGTTTACTCTAAACCTTGTATTCGGCCAGAGGGGTACCAATTTTATTAGAAGGCTAAAAAATGTGTCTCTTATAGTGATTGTGGTAAACTTATCAGGTCAATTTCTGGTCATTGTCCTTTATATACTAGAGGGTTTTATGTTACTCAATATTATAATAAACTTCGATCAAATATATAAGAAAGAACTTATGGGAAAATAATAGTTGTCCATAGAGAAAGAACTTATGAGAAAATAATAGATACCTATAGAGATGCGCTTACAAATCTTAATATTACTCTTTGCAAGGAATGCTTTCATCCGATAAATGTAAAAGAGAGGAAATATTGTAATAGTTGTCAGCCTGAATAAATATTTTATATATCAGGAACTTGCTCTAAAGCATTAAATACCAAGGATAATTTTTGATATCAAGTAATTAGATTTATTTAAAAAAAAATTTTATTATATACTAGTACTCTATATAGATATTAAATAATTAGATAATTAATCTATTGAAAATATTCATCTGGTCTTTCATCTACCGTATAATATTTAGAATTGGTACTTTCTTCTGTCTCTAGATAACAAGTTATTGGTAATTCAAAATTGTTAGATTTACATGAAAATTTTTTATTAAGATGTTCTCAAAGCTTTTATGATGTTAATAATGTTTTATTACATTTTGCACAGGTACGATTTTTTTTATCTTTTCTAGCCATTATATTTACATTATATATTCACTACTTTAATAAGACTTATGTTATATTTTTTAGTAAAATTTTATATATCAGAAATTTAATCTAGAGTACTAAATATCAAGGACAATTTTGATATCAAGCAGTTAAACTTAAGGTTATATTTTTTAGTAAAATTTTGTATATCAGGAACTAAATCTAGAGCACTAAATACCAAAGACAATTTTGATATCAAGAGGTTAGACTTTAGTTAGATTTAATGAAATGATATGTATTTTAGCTTGCTAGCATGTCAGAGAAGGGATCAAGATATTTATTACATTCATATCCTTCACCACTTCTCTTTGTTTTTTTAACAGCAAGCAAAGTAGTATAAAAAAATCTGATCAAATTATGTTAAAAATATGATCTAAAACAAAAATCCTATGTCTTAGTTAGACTTATTTGGTTAGAAATAGATATGGTTAGAAATAGTTATCAGATTTGAGCTTCTAGCAAGGGTGGCACACTAATGCTGCATATGTGCGTTTTGTCCCAAAACCCCCAAATTTGCATTGTGTTCACTATATCAGCTTCTTTTTGGGCACCTGTGGTATTTCATTACTACAGATCTATGTCCAAATAACTTTTTTGTAGTTAGAATATTGGAAGAAACTACAATTATCACAACTTTTACATCGAGCTCATCCTTATTTTTATATATTTCAGGAACTCTTTATCCCTTCCATAATTCCTTAAGGTCATCAACTATTAGTGATAGATAATGATTAATTTAATTCTTATCAGCTTCCTCGGGTTCTGGGAGAAAACTCAAATAAATTATATTTTCAGGCTTATTTTTTTCAGCTTTAGGGAGATTGCATATTGAAGTATAAATAGTATCAGTACTATATTGTATATATTTGAAAGGTTGGAACTAATCTAAATTTATTAATAATCCTAAATTCGAGATGGCAGTTTCTGGACTAAAAAATTTGCTATCATCAAAAAGAAATAAATTCCAAACTCTTCCATCATATATATTAGCATAGATATTGCTGTCATAATTTCTTGTACCTGATTGATTAAATATTTTTTCAAAACCTGATCTCTGATACATGATGTTTAATTGTTATTTAATTGAAGATTTAGGATATAACATTCAGAGAATAACT